ATGTTGTGCATGCATATGTTTGTGTGTAATGTTTCTAGAAGAAAACACTCAAAGTCAAATGGGTCTTGGAATAGGGAAGGGGAACTTCTATTTGCATCTTATGCCCAACTGAACTGTTGGAGGGTTTTTATTGCAAACACTGAATATATAGTACTTTTGTAACTGAAGAATATTAAGTTAGTTGAAATTAATTTGAACCTTCTTTGTGGAACTTCCAGCCCCATTTTTTTTTTGTTTGTTTGTTTTTTGTTTGTTTGTTTTTTGTTTTTTTGGCAGAACTGGGGATTGAACTCAGGCCCTTGCGCTTGCCAGGGAAGTGCTTATTCCACTGAGCCATCTCCCCAGCCCCTGAAGCTTCTGAGATGACATGTGGGGAGGGGGAGAGGAAGCAAAGGCACTTATGAGGTATTGTAGAAGTTTTTAGGCCAACAGTTAACCATGGGGACTTTTGCAACAAGTAGTTCTTGGAGGGAAAATGTGCAGTCCCATCAAGCAGGGGCTGTGTTCCTGTCTGGGCCTGAGATCCTAGAGATGGACAAGTGTGTATGATGAGGAGGAGGCTGGCCGCTTTTAGGATGGCCTCTGGAGGCTAGCCACTTTTAGGATGGCCTCTGTGGAAGCTGGTTCCTAGCTATGACTGCTGGGTCCTGGGGGATCCCTAACCCCCACTCCTCCCTACATCTGGGACTGGGATGGCCCTCAGCCCTGCCCTCAACTCCCCATCACCTACACTGGGTCAGAGAGATGCAAAGCTGCAAGCTGCTACAGTTTCCATGACAACAGATGAATCTAAGAACCAGCTCTTCACCCAGCCAGGGGCTGCAGGAAGTGTGTGTGTGTGTGTGTGTGTGTGTGTGTGTGTGTGTGTGTGTATACAAGTATGTGGGAGAGAGAATCAGATTTGGAAAGAAACCAGGCACACAGGCAGGGCTAAAGGAAGAGAGGGGCAGGGATGGATCAGAACAGCTAATGAACAAGCAGGGTGAAGGGAAGAAAGCCACACTGTCTGTGCTCTTGCCATCGCAGGACACCTACTGTGTGCCAGGTGCTGGACCAGGGCCTGGAAGAGTTGGCTCCCCCTAAAAACATCTGTGGCTCTTCAGTGGTCCAACAATTCACATGACCTATTCTCCCCGTTTCTTAGGGCGAAACATCGGGACCCAAGAGACGTGAAATACAATGTGTGAGAAGAGTCTTCCTCACTCCCCAGCTGAACACAGAGAAGAGCCTCAGGGACAAGGTGGCAGCATGTGGCCCGTGTATGAGGAGGCAGAGAGGATGGGTGGTGGTGGCTAGGACTGAGCAGGGGAGTCAGGGAGAGAGAAAGGCTGCACTTACGGACTCATGACAAATCTATATAAACCTTAATCTTCAGAAAATGAGTTGGCTCTGGATGACTTTGCCCCCTGCCCAGGACCTGTGGCAGTGTCTGAGGCATTTTGGTTGTTGTGACTGGAGCTATTGTTCTTACTGGCCTCCAGCAGGCAGACCCCTCCACCCCCAGCCGAGAATTATCTTAGCAGTGGTGCCAAGGCTGAGTGACCCTGGTCTAGAAACATCAATGATCCTTTCTGCAGTGGCTCTGACTCTCCGCTTCTCTCCAATGACACTGACAGGACAGGGAGGGCGATCAACATGAACGCAAGGCAGATGGTGCTGGCTTGCAGCTCCCTAGCTGGCTGTGTGACTCTGGGTCAGTTACCTCCCTGGCTCTCACTTTCCACATGGATCCTAAATGGGGGTGGCTCCCTTCTCTCCCGGGGACGCTGTAAAATCTAATGGTACAGCAGGTGCAGATGCTGAGTGCCAACTGGGAAGTGCTGTATGCAGGGAATGTGGGATCTCATTAACCAGTGGGTGTCTAGATTAGGAAGGCATCCTTGGGGCTGGGCAGATGGAGGTCAGTGGAGTAAGGAGGGAGTGAAAGCTTTCCTTCTCTAAAATAGTGGCTGGCTATTCTCAGCAGGTAATTCATAAATACATGTTGGACAGAAATTGCCACTATAAAGGGGCAATGGGGTCAAGAAACTCTGGATTATTCTGTGCTCAACTTACCTATGGAGGTGAGGGGCAGCCTCTTTCTTATGGCTGAGACATGGGACACAGCTCTGCCCCAACCATGGGCTCCCCCGGCTCTTCTCCAGCCTGCCTACCTTGGGTGTCTGCAAATCATTCTGCCACCGCTGGCCCTCCAGGCTGGTCTGATTGGTGAGGTCTTGCAGCTTGGCTTTCCGCAGTGGGTATCTCCTGGAGGATCCTGTGGGCTCGCTGGCAGTGGTGGCCCTTGGGCACAGTTTGTGGTCGGTGATCTGGTTGGTACTGTAGGCCCTCCGTCTCGGGGTGTGGTCCAGACCTAGGCAGGGGAGGTGAGTGGAAAGTCATCAGGGAAGGAGAGGGGCTTGCATACCTCCTTCCTGCTTGGAAACATCCTCAGTTCCTCCTTGAGCCCCCGCTGGAGTGTGCGCAGGTTCCTTTGCCAGCATCGGAGTCTTGCAAGCTCACCTTATCTGACCCCCATCTCCTTCCCTGCAGCTCTCCCTTGTGTCCCCTTCTAAAGGCACAGTGTGCTCCAGACAAACTGCGTGCTTTCTGAGCCTCACACATCGCCTTTGTCCTCGGCCCTCTCTGCTGCCTAGAGGCTCCTTTTCCTTCCCAACAGCCCCTGGGTGAAGTGTTGGTTGAGTGCTTCTCTTCCTAGGGTCTTCACAGTTGTGGCCCCTGCCACTCCTCTTGTCTCAGAGTTAAGATCGACTGCATCTCCCCGGATGGAGAGTACCTGAAGGGCAGGTGTCAGTGTGAGTCATCTGCACCTCCCACTGTGCTCAGTGACCAGCTTTGGCGAGTAATGGGGAAATGGCCTTTGACTGGGAACAAACACAGCGGAGAGGCACTGGAGTAAGAAAGCTCTGGACTGTCTTTCTGTACACTATCTGTCTCTTTCAAGCTCTGGGAATTTAGCTGCATTGCTTAAGTCCTCCAAATCTCAGTTTCCTCCTCTGTAGGACAGGTGTCATGATACTTACCTCTGAAGCTGCTAACTGTTCATGGCAATTGTTTTTTATAAAGTTCTGAGCACACAGTAAGAACTCAGGAGAAGGGAGCAATCAGTATTGCAAAAGGGCAGAGGGGAGGAGGGCAGGCGGGCAGAGGACCTACTGTGGCTGTGGCTGGTGCTGGGGTCTCCACCGAGTGGCCAGGCATCCTTCACCCGCCCCTGGCTGAAGGGTGCCCCCACGCCCTTCGTACAGTCTCCACTGTCCGGGCCGGCTCCCTCGTCCTGAGAGTGGTAGAAGACGGAGCTCCCAGACTCCTGGGAATGCAGCATGCCATACCTTCGCCGCTTGTCCTGGAGGGAGAAGGACTGGGAGTGAGACCTGATGGTAGAGGGACCTCCATGGGGCAATGAGGGGCTTGAAGGACCAGCAGGATGGGAAAAGTGTTCTTTGCTTAGGGAGTTTAGGTGGCCTTCTGTTCAAGAGATGGAAGAAAGTCATTTTTCATATCTGCTATATAGCTTATATTTTAAATTGTTGACTTGGCTCATTAACATTTGAAAAAAGTATAATTTTAAACATTTCTATCTCCAGATAGGTAGCTAAAATGAGCAAAATGGGCCACTGGTTCCTTCATTCCATTCCTCATGACATAAACATGCCCAGAAATAGATACATAAATAATGTTATTTTATATAAGTTATATGAATGCATGCTTGTAGAGATCATTTTTGTTTTATAAAACCTGGATCCTACCACTTACATTTATTGGTGTCTTTTTTTAAAAAAAATGTATTTAGTACAGAGTGTTCAGGGTTTCACTACATAGATCGGACTCATAGTGATTCTCCTATTTTCAGCCTCCCAAGTGCTGGGATTACATGAGCGCACCACCACGCCCAGTTTCAATCCTGTTTTAGCATGCCCTGGGGCCTGCAGGGCACTCCAGGGATCACACCCAGGCTGCTGTTCTCTGCCTAAGCAGGCGTTTCAGTCTGCTGAGCTATCTGGCCAGCCCTCATTTATCAGTATCTTGAACTTGGCCCTTAAAAACATTCTGGAAATCCTGCAACTCTTTAAAGTCCCACTATCCCTCATTGTTGTCTACTTTGTGGCCATTTTCTGTTGTGACCATAAAATCTGTGGTCATAGATGTATCACTTTCTTTCTTTAGTTAGAGTCCTAGGAGTGGCATTTGTGGGGTGCAAGGCTTACAGATTTCTAGTTTTGTTATTTCTAGATTGCTTGGCAGGAGGCTTTGAGAAGTCACATTGCCACCATTGATACATGAAGGTGTTGTGTCCAGCATCTCCACAAATGGCAGCAGAAAACTGTCAATCTCAGGAATAAGAAAAGGAGAACGGATTTGGGGCTGCTGTCAGGTTCCTTCTAGTGGGAGGGGTTGTTGATGATCCGACATCAATAGTAAGACCCTGATAGCAGGACTCTTAAGAAATTTGGTAGCATGAAAAAGTGCAGGAGCTTATCTAAAATTCCAACTTCTCTTTCAAGTATGGTTAACATAGGGCACACGTTCCTGCATGGTGACAGCGTGGGAGGACGGAGTGGGGGCTGCTGACTTGGGGTACGCTGTCCAGTCCTGTTGCCATGCTACCTGCTGCTCCTAATCACCTCTCCAGCTATGAGCTCAGTGACAACTGATACCCACCAGGGCCTCTGCTATTGATTGATTGCTTGATTGAGACAGGGTCTTGCTACGTAGTATGGGATGATCTTGAGCTCACTTTGTAGCCCAGGCTGGCTCAAAGTCACTGTGGCCTTCCTGTCTCAGTCTCCCGAGCACTGGGATAACAGGCGTGTGCCACCATGCCCAGCTCTCTCCATGTTAGTACAGATTTTACCTCCTTTTGAGAAATTCTTTACTTCTATCCTATTTGTGACACCAAATATATGACAGTTATTTATCCCCCCAAAAATTTATCTAAAGAAATACAAGCTGACAAGAGCATCCTGAGGAAGAAACCCAAGCGAAGTTGTCCTTGAACTGAAGTGTGTGTTTTATCATTTAGGAGAGACTATATAAGATGCAGATTCCTGGGCCTTACCCTCAGTGGATGTGGGTTGGAGCTATGGCTCTGCAGTTTAGCCAAGTTGCCCAAGTGGTTCTTCTGCAGGGGCTCCTCTAAGCCACACTCTGAGAGGGCATTCACCTGAGTACATCACTACCAAACGCCTATTGCCTGCCAACTATATCTACAACTATAAATCAATTTCTAATCAGTTTCTAGCTACCATGAATAGAATTCCAGCTAAGGATGGTTTGTGGTCATGGGTTCTGGATGCCACTTGCGCCTGCAATTTCTCGAATACTTACAGATCTAGGATTGGAGACGTACAAGGAGGCATCACACACAATGCCATACCCCACCAACCGTTCTCCAGGGAAGAGGGTGCTGGTGCTGACAGGTGCTATCAGGACCTCAGTGGCCTCAGGGAAGACCCACTCCACCGTCACATCACTCAGGACTGGGGCCATGGCCTTCTTCAAGGATTTGATCATCTGTGGGACAGGATTGGAATGCAGCAGGGGTATGAGTGAGGAGCATAAAGATGGTGTGGGTATGAGTTTGAAGAGGAGTGTGGGCAGGGAGAAAGAACCAATCAGTCCTGGGGGGTCACTTGCCCAGGCATGAGTCAGATTCCTGAACTCCTGGAATGTGGGAGTTGGGGTGCATCTTTGCTGTCATCTTCTCTAAGCGTATCATCTTACAGAGAAGATTCGAGGCTCAAAGATGGCCGAGTAGTTCGAGGACATAGAGAAAGTTTGGGTCAGAGCATGGCCTGGATTGTTATCTTAAGTACATCAGCTGGCTTCTCCAGATCTCAGTTTCTTCTTTGGTTAAAGTGGGACGATAAGTTGGAAGATTAGATGAGATACTGGCTATGAAATATCTGCCACATAAGAGGTAGCAAACTTGGAGAGGATTAATGGTTGTGTGCCTTAAAGGCAGTGATAGATATACTCCCAATCCCCCAAGAAGGACCATACCTTGTTGCTGCAGGGATGCAGTGCCCCTTAGCCAAGCTCACACCTCCCCAGGGAAGCCCTCTGCCACTTTGCTCCAGAGCTCCCCCTAGGGTTGGTCAAGGCTGGGGCAGAAAATTGCAGTCAGGGTCTCCCCACACCTGTCTTCTGGCTGGAAGATTTTTTCCCTTTTTCTTCCTTTTCTTTCTTTTTTATGTGTTTGGTACAGGGTCTCACTACACAGATCGTAGTGATCCTCCACCTGGACTGGGTCACTGCTTGAGGGCAGGGCCAGTGCAGCATGTGGTACCAGGGATTGAACCCCGGTCTCTGTGCTTGCCTAACCAGGCACTTAGTCCACTGAGCTATATTGCTGGCCCTGATTTTTCCTTTCTTGTTCCTTCCTTTTCTATGTTTCACAGGTGCTGCCTCCCAGTTAACCTCTCTGCTCTAACCTGAGTTCTGGCTTTGCTCATGGATGGCCTGGATTTTCTAAGGGTTAGGTTATTTGTGCAAAATGTGCTGGAAGAGAGGGAGGGAGAGAAAAGACTCTTTAATACCTAGGCTTTTTAGGTTCTTCTGAGCCATTAATTGTCCCAAGGAAGGTGGCCAGTAATGACCCCAAACACAGCTTTATAGCTGTGCTAGATCAGTAGGAGGAGCACATGACTTGGGCTGTGGAGTAAGAGATCAGTGTCCTGGGGCTACTCTAAGAGCTGCTTGCTCTGAGGCTGCCTCCTCTCTGGTGCTTATGGGGGGCAGGTGGTGGTCAGGGTAGCCTAGTGGAGAGCTCAGATTTGGGCTTAAACAGCAATTCTGCTGTTAAGTTTCTGCCGGACCTGTCTGGGCCTTGGAGGTTCCAGCACTGGAAGGGACTGAGAAGCCCTTCTTCCTACCTTGGGTTGCAGCCGCTCGCCCTCCACTAGGAACTCAGCACTGCCCTTGGACACGGATGCCAGCCCTTTTACCAGTCGATGGCAAACCTTTGGTCCGATCCCAAAGCTGTAGCACCTGGAAGGGGGCAGCAGAGACACAGATGGCGCTACTTGCCAGCCCTTCTGCGTTTCTGCCCACTTGAGAAGGGAAAGACACAAAGCCTGGTCCAACAGAGCCAGCTCAGAGTTAGACCTGCCTTAGGCAGAGGGAGAGGGAGAAGGGAGAAACGCCCCCTGCCGGCAGGCAGAGTCAGGGCAGCCTCTTCCCACGCTGCTCTTTGGGACGTGCAGGCAGAAGTGTGGGCAACTCCAGAACTTTTGGGAGTGAAGAGCGAGCTTAGAAACCAGTCCGCAAGCGCAGCACTCTGGGAACTATCGGCCCTGTCCTTTTGTTGTGTCATCGTGTGCACTTTGCTCTGGTTCTGGCTCCCCCAGCCCAACGGTCGCTTGGAATAACAGAGGTCCGGACCCCCAGTCCGGGCTCACCTGGTGGAAAAGGCATGGTTCCGCACCAACTCCAGCACCTTCCCGGTGTTGCCGATGGCGCCACCCGTGATCAGGAAGAGTAGCCGCGGGTGGCCCTGGTGCACGGGCTGCCGGACGATCCACTTGAGGGGAGAAAAGATGTTGGTGCCACCCATGTCAGCTTGCATACTCTGGATGCTGTTACACGCCATAGCCAAGCTCTCCTGCAGGGAAGGATTGCGGAAAAAGTAGACAGTCCCCAGGGTCGCCCTGTGACGTGGAGATTCTCAACCACTCTGGGGAGGAGCTCTTTTTTTCCCCTAGTTTTTAGTTCAACTTCATTCCTGCTCCAACTGTGGGAAGAACAGGTGGCTGTTTGTTTGTTTATTTATTTATGTATTTATTCGTTACAGGGTCTCATCACACAGCTCGGACTCGTAGTGATCCAGTCTCAGTCTCCCCAGCGCTGGGATTACAGGCGTGTGCCACCACACTCAGTCATGGAGGTTGGCATAGCGTGCCTGAGGTTCCAGAGCTTGCATGGCATGCTGTACTGGGCATCGAACCCGGGGGCTTGTGCTTGTCAGGCTGGCGCTTAGACCGCGGAGATAGCCTATGTGGCTGTTTTTTTTTGGTGTAACCTATTACTGATGCTAGAAATGCCTCTATTAGCATTGTCCTTTCTGGGTTCCTCTTTATAATATAAGCACCTCTGGAAAAGATGCCGAGTAAACCTCTAATTCCTCAGCACAAATGACATTCTCTTTTCTGCTGAGGGAGGCAGACGATGTGGACAAAAGAACGCTGGGCTGAGAAACATAAAACTTGAGTCCTGAGGCTGACTTGCACACTGACTCCCTAGGAAACTGCAGAGACTGCGTTCCCAATTTGGAATTCAGATTTCCTTTCTCCTGGACCAACACTTTGGGACCCAACTGGAGAAGGATTATTGGCACGGGGTGGGTGCCTGTGTAGCAAGGACGTGTGTCATCCTCTGGACATGCGTCATCCTACCTACACTCAGGAAGATGCTGTGCTGACATCTATGCTTTGAGGGATGATAAGTAATGGCCTGTATCAAAGTCTGATGATGTGTATAGTAGCTTTTGAACCGGCAAGACGGCACAATGAAGGATGCATGAAGAATCTGTGATGCAAAGATGACTAAATGGAAAGAAGTGGAAACAGCTTGAATGTCTCACTCTAAGGCCTCGTAGAGTAAGTCCCAGTCTGTCTGGATAGTGAAATACTAGGCAGCCATTACAGTTAGATTGCAGGTTGATACTTTCTGGAATGAAAATATGTTCATGACAGCTTGGAAGTAGGCTATGGATGGGACAGTATGGAATGCCTTGATTGAAAATGTGTATCAGAACGAGATCTGGAGGGATTTATACCATGCTCCTCACAGTAGCTTTTCTTCTTTATTTTTTCCCAACTGATGCAATCATAGGAGATTAAGGCATTTTTTAAGATTATCTAGATTTAAAGTTATGAGACAACACATACTGTCCGTTTGCGTATTTGAAAAACTCACAAAATTACTTTGAGTTGAAAAATAGCTAACATGTCCCTCCTTCATCCATCCTTTCTTCTCTTCCTTCCTTCTGCTTTTCATTCTTTCCTCTTCTGAGGTCTGGGTAGGACACTCTGATTGTGAATGTGCTGGGGGGGGGCACACAGCCTTCTCAGTACCCATCCACACCCTACCCTTCCCATTTGCTTCTTTAGCTCCACCTTGCACGAGCCCCTCATCCTCATGAGACTGGAGCTTCAGGATGACGGTCCATGGACTTGTCTCCTCCCTGCTCTCTCCCTAGGCCTCATCTCTGTGCCCTCCCTTTGTCCAGTGCATGATTTCCTTAAAGAGGGAAGATGTTAGAGGGCCGGGACACCAGGAGTTGCCTAAGCAGCGGTGGGTTGTCTTGAATTCTCTGCTCCTGGATGTGACCTGGGCTGTACGGGTCAGGAACTTCAGAGGCTCGTCCCAGAGTTACCCGTTCCCACCTTTTCTCTCTTCCCTCTTGTTCCCTACTGCCTACCACCCTCCTGATCCCAGATTTGCCCCATTCTTACCTCACTGTAGGTCTGGCTAGAAGGGAAGAGGGTCTTAAATGTGGATCCAAATCCAATGACATTGAAGAGGCAGGTTGGCATGAGACTCTTAAGGGCCACCAGCATGGCATCCTGGTGGGCAAGAAAGGAGTTTTCAGACTCAGGCAAAGGCTCCTGCCACTACACACTAGTACTGCCATTCCAGCTTAGGCGCCACCTTCACAGGACCTGTCACCTGCTGTCTGCACCCAGAACCTTGTTCTCCTTCATGTTGTGAAACTGAGTGATTCTGTCCAGAGGCTGCATCAGAACCATTACCATAAAACCTCTCAGCCACAGAGCCGGTCTGCTTCTCCAAGCCACCCCATGATGGCTGGCCAGATCCACCTCACCCCTTGCTGACCCTAAGAGGAGGAAGCGCCATTCTCTTCTGCCAAAGCCAAAATGACATCTGGCGGAAGAAAGTGGCTGGTGCAGGTCACACCGTTGATAGGATAACTTCTGTTTCTCTCTCACGCAGGGCCTCTGAATCAGAGTCAAGCTATCATTAATCAGTGCTAAAACCCTAGTAACAAGGGCCAGCCAGATAGCTCAGTAAACTAAGCACTTGCTTAGGTAAATGCAGGGGCCAGGGTTCCATCCCTGGCACCACATGCTGTGCCAGCTCCACCCCTGGGCGTGCTGAGCTGGCGATGGAGTCCTGGCTTGGTGGTGCATGCCTGTAATCCCATCACTAGAGAAGCTGAAAACAGGAGGGTCACTGAGTACGAGCTGGGTAGTGAGACCTTGCACACACACACACACACACACACACACACACACACCTCAAAAATTCAACCTAGGAACAGTCCCTTTAGTTCATATTTGTTGGATGCAAAGGATATATTTTATATGGAGTACCCTGCTAACCTTCATGATAGCCAGCACATTCGAGGCATGCATGTTTATTATCCCCATTATATAGAAGATAAGATTGAGGCACAGAGAGCTAAAGTGACTTGTTAGTGGATCCAGGAGTGAAGCACGTGCCACTTTGCCGCCAATGTCCCTGAGCATTAGTGAGTCTCAGTGTATGTACCTAGGTACCAGGAGAAGACCTCCATAATGGCATGTTGAAAAAATAATGACCACAAAAGGTGGTGAGTCGATAACAAGCAAAAGGATGATAATTATGACACAACCAATGGTAACTGTCAAGCCCTTACCATGGGCCAACTATTGCACTAAACACTTAAATAAACCACATTTGCTCTCTGATTGTGTCTTAGTGTAATGGTGAAGCTAATATGACTTCGAGGGAAAACCTACCTGAGTGCAAACACCACCTTTCCCATGACTGACCTGACCTTGGGTTAGTTATGTTGCCCCTTTGAGCCCCAGCCTGAAACAAAGTACACATTCATTAAGGATATATATATATATATATATATATATATATATATATTTTTTTTTTTAATAATCCTATTTTCTAGATGAAGAAACTGAGGCTCAGGAAGGCCAAAGGGTTGCAACGGCTCATAAAACCCAAGACTATGACCTTGACTTTCCAATATAGCCCTGAAGCTTTTATTCATGTGAGCTCTGCCTTGGCACAGAGCTGGGCAATAAATGTCTCCCCTTCACCCCCACATAGTTTATGGATGGCACCCGAGGGAATCTCAGCATGGCTTCAGGGAAACAAACTGCCATCCTCCAAAGTGTAGAAGCAAACAGCTGCCAGTGCGTTCTGGCAGCGTTCGCATCATGCAGCCTTCCAGGCTCCACGGCCCCACCGCCCCTCTCCATCCCCCTCTGCAAACATCTCCCTTGTCGCTCTTTGTCGCTTGTGTCAATACATTCTGTGCCTCTGCAGAAGTAGTCAATACCTGCTTTTTTTTTCATTAGCCATTAATGTATATTTCTGCGAGCAGGAGACTCTGCTGATCCATACAGATTGTCTCTGCTCACACCTATTAGAATTTTCAAAGCCATGTTTTTGGCAGCAAGTAGCAGCTGAAGAATGAGACCAGCTGCAGGAAACTGAATTGGCTGAACTTTCGTCTTTGGCATAGGCTATTTGGATTTATATTCTCTCCCTCAATTCCTAAGTCTAATTTCTCCTAAAACTTCAACACAATGGGACTGCAATGAATGGTCCAAGCAACACCTCCAGTAACCGTATTGTCTGCAGGGAAGGAGGTGTATGGCCTGAACAATTTCTGTGCTTTTCTTTGAAAGGCTCATGGTTCGCAGAACGGGTTGTACGCATGCAAAGCCATTTGTGAAGGATGACCTGGAGCTTAGTGTTGTGAACCAGAGAAAAGCAAAGGAGACTCCAAGGGCAAAGGGGAATGGAAGGTAAGCCAGAGAAAGTTCTCGTCAGAGAGTTCCAGAGTGCAAATATTGGAAAGGGTTTTAGTTAAAGGAATGGATTTCCAGCTCATAAACCAGTTCTATTTAAACTGATAGCAACTGCCTGGAATGCAGAAATTATAGAAAAACAGAGTCCAGGCTTAGCAGGAAGAAAAAAAAAAAACCAAAACAGTCCTACATTATTGATGTCTGCCTGGGGTTGGCAGAGAGAAGCAGGAGGGACAGACAATATATACTCGCCCTCCCTGAATTAATCTTTCCTTTTCATTTTAGCAAAAGGACAAATGAAGGCCAGCATTGGGAATCAATTTGTCCAAAGCCACACTGCAATCCAGTGGTAGAATCGATCCTAGACCCAGGCATTGCTTTTTCTACCATGTCATACAGTGGAAGTGATAGAGATCAGAGAAGAGATTTTACACATGGAAGCACAGGGATCATCTCCCCTTCCGTGGTGGAATGGAAGAGATACAGAAGGTACAGGTTCCCCCGCTAGCACTCTACTCTACTCATTTTTCTTATCTAGTGAGTGAAGAGAATATGGCGGAAATGGCCCTAGGACTATTTTGGATTTGTAATCCTATGATGTTCTGAGGAAATGTCTCACAAGTCAGTATAGCTGTGGGACTGTGTATGGAGGGCCATCCAGGCCTGGAGTGTGATCTAGCCCCCTGGCACCGTGGGCAGCCATCCTTTCTTGTTCTTGACTTTGGTGGTGGGTAGCATGGGGAGAAGCTTCTAGCCAGCCCTGTGTTTGTCAAGGTACCTCAACTTGGACGTTGGGTCTCATCTATGATTCTTTGTCACGCTTCAAGGCAGAGCCTAGTCATGGCAAGGATGAGGAGGTAGCGGACCTTACAGATGCCGCCTAACACCCTCCTCTCCTTGCTGAGCCTGTTGCCTTGGAAATAAGAGCCTTCTCCAAGGACTAACTTGAGGAGATGGATGAATTTTCAGGTGACAGAAGAACCCCATTCTCTTCTCGTCTCATCTCCCATTCTCTCAAACTACAATCCTTTACACAGTTCAATAAACAGACTGAAGGCTTTTTATACCTAAACATAGAGCTAGACCCCTTGGGGAGCAATATGGATGAGAACTACCTGCTTCTTTCTCTTAATGAATTCATAACTCCAGATGGGAAGAAAGAGATCTCCAGAAGTCAAAATACAAGGGAGGGTCGGAAGGTGCCATAATCAAATGAATATCTCCCATGGGGGAGGGAACACTTCTGGGTGGGTGGGGAGGGTTCTGTTGCTCTTTCTTCCACGTTCCTGCTGAGCTCTCCTTAGCAAAGAGGTCAAACTCCAGGTATTCTTCCCGTGTCCCTCACTTGACTGCAAATTGCTTGGGGCAGCAACTGTTTTTGCATCCTGCACATTAGAGAAAAAGCAGAGCCAAGCTTCTCTTCTGGATTCTATCCATTCCTTGATGACAGCCCTGTGTGCAGTGGATCTGTGACACTAACTGGTAGAGAGTCAGGTGGACGTGGTATTAATCATAGACCACAATTAGTTTTCCCTTATGGTAAATGGTGACTATAGACCAGTCTCCCAGGATTATTGTTTGGATTAAGTACCAAGCTTTGTGTGAAATGACTTGCATGGTATCTGGCACTGAGCTGACCCTCAGAAAGTGTTTGTTTCCTGCCTGTATTCTCTGCATCTCTTCCTACTCAGGACTAGTGCTGTGCTTTATCCAGAGCGGGCATGCGACAGAAATGTATAGAACGCAAGGGCAGCTATTGGTCACTTCATTGGTGACTGCAATGAGCAACAATTCTGCCTCTGCTCACATCACTTGAGGGTTTTATTTTGGGAGGAAATAGAGTTTGGGTGTCTTTGTTTATACTGAATACATATATTTCAAAAATTGCTCCTTGGAATAGAAAATACTGAGGAAATCAGGTCCGGGGAGCACAGCTGAGTTACCCTGGAACCTGCATCCCTCAGGAGGAGGGGGCTTCATGGCAGGTACCTTGACATGGTGGATGTTGGTCCCCCTCATCCCGTTGCTCCTGTCAACCAGGAAGATGAACTCCCCGTGGGTCTTTCTCAAGTTTGGCTGCATGGACTGGAGGTCAGGACAGAAGTTGAGCATGATGACCGAGTGGTGGAGAATGTCTTTGTGGAGGCGTTTCCGGATGATTGCTGTCTGGAGGAGAAAGGGAAACCCCCTGATTTGGGCAATTGTGGGGTGCTGAGATACCTCTTGGGACACATATGAGTCCTTCATCACTTACCAAGTAGTATCTGCATCTTACTTGTACTCTGTGTCAAAGACCCCCGCACCAGCTGCTCTGGGCCCTTCTGTCTGTTGGCTCTTCCCAGATTGCAACAATAAGACTAAACTCTACAGGCAGCAAGACCTGGGCCCGAATCCCAGTTCCGTCCCTGTCCCACTGTGGAAACTTGAGAAAGTCTCTCCTCTGGTTTTTTTCCCTTTGTAAAATAGAGCAAATACATGTACCTTTCAGGGTGATCCTAAGCAGAACTGAGTTTATGCATAAATATGGCCCCCCTCTGCTGAATAATGGTCTCTTCTACTTCTCCATGCAATGCAAAAACCACTCTTTGACTCATCCTGGCTATCAGCTTAGTTTTCCTGATTTGTTAATTTTTTCCCGCTGGTAAATTTTTACTCATCCTTCAGAGTTTACCTGGGTGTGATAACAAGCCTTCCCAGGTCTTACAGGACTTAGGCACTGACCTTTCTCATCTATGGGAAGTGTGCGTACCTTGCAGAATGGGCCAGGGGACTTGGGAGGCCCACTGCCTGGCAGAGTGATTGCCACCATTGCTATTGCTGTGGCTGCTGCTATCTGCCTTGGGGCTGTGCCACTTCTCACCCCAAAGCAGTGTTTTATACCTCTGCCTCCTCTCCAGTTTCCAGGCTATGGGAAGGCAGGTATCACCTTAGTCTTTTGCATTTCTGGGACTTAACAGACAGCCTGGCTGGAGATGGACCAGGATGCATAGCACTTTCCTTCTTTGTCTTTTTATGTGGCCTCCTTGCAGGCCCTGAGGTCGCGTACTCCTGCCCTTCCTGACTCTCCACTCATCCCACTCCATGCAAGATTTTATTTCCACCTTCTCAGAAGAAGGCTGAGAAGAGGCTTTCTCCCGCTCTGTCTCTTGATCTGACCGTTTCCCTGGGAGCCCATGTCTTTTCATGTCTGTTTCTTAGTTTCTATCTGGGACCATTCTCCATCTCAGCAGAAGACTTAACCCGAACACCTAGCAGCGGTTTTAGATCTTTCTTCCTCCCTTGTTCTCCAGCAGGGGGTCAGCAGTCCTGCAGCTAAAAGACACCCTCAATGTTCTCTGCTTTTTCTCTCCATTGCCAGTACCCAAGTCCAGGGAAGGATTTCTCGATGGGCTTTTGCAGCTGCCTCACACTGGCCTCCTTCCTCACTCTGACCTCCCCACGGTGCATTTTCTGTAGAGGTGCCAGAATGCTCCTTCCTGACATTCTCCCGCTTAGGCGGCAGTCTCCCCTCTCATCATACACCACAGTCGGCGAAGCCCTCACTGGCCTGGTCCCTGCCTGCTGGCCACTTCATCTCTAGCACAATAGCTTCTGTCCTTTGTATGTGTTGCACCCTCTCTGCCCATGCTACTCCAGGCAGACTCTTCAACCTCCACTAGGTCTCCTGCTCGGGCAGACATCTGTTAAACACCTGGCTAAAGAGCCAGTCCCTCATTGCCATATCACCGCGTTGTGTTTCCCCCATACCTCTCCAAACCAATCTTGCTCATTTGTGTACTCTTTGTCTCCTTCTACAATATAAGCTTCAAGAAGACAAGGACTGTGTCGTTTTCAGCGTTGTCCCTCTAAGGTCTCAAACAGTGCACTGGACACTTAGTGTTTATTGAATGAAGGAGAAAATGCATCCATGTGGATCATTTTTATCTGCTGTGGACCTAGCTGTGCATCTTGCTGTGTTTCTCAGTCTCTGTCTCTGAGAGCTCTGTCTCCGTCCCCTGCACATGGAGTGTCCCTCCGTGTTCTCTATCTTCTCTTTGCTAAATCACAGTTTTTGACAGCTTGTACCACCCATGCTTCCTGAGTGATGTTTGTCCTCTGGTTGTTCCCACTCTGACTTCCTGGGGAATCTCATCCTTTCTCCCATATGAAGCTTCTTTGTCAAAAGTTACTGTCCAGCCTGGCTTTTTTTTTTTTTTTTTTTGATGACAGAGCCCAAGGCAGCAATGGTCATATCTGCCAGTGAAAGGAGTCACCTCCAGGAGCCCGGATTACTGCCTTGCAGAGGGACAGTGAGTGCCTTGGCACCAGATTCTCTAATGTCTCCTCAAGCTGCCATTATCCAATTACAATAAACTTGTCACTTCTTAGCAGCTGCCGGTTGATCGCTGTCATCCCTGGAGCCCAGGAGAATACAGGGTATTTGCATAACCAACCCAAGGTGGCAAATTAATTCACATTTGCTGCAGCAGCCCCAGAGCTAATTGACTTAAGTTTTGGCAGGCAGAATGGCTAGCCCCAGGCCTGGGAGACACATTGCTCACCCCCCCCAACATTCTGCATGTCCTAGAGCTCAGGGGTACCCCTGAAATTGCCACCCCTACTCCGAGACCTTGGCTCAAGCTTTTCCCAATGGATTCATTTGAGCAAGCAGGTGTTTGGGGTTGGGGTGTCTCCAAATACAGCGACAATATGGCAGGCATCAAGTCACCCACACTTTCCCTCTACCATCCCTCCTGTTTGCCACCCAGCAGGTGAAAGCACCAGCTTTCATCAGAGGTCTAACAATGGGACAATATGAGCCCTGAATGTCCACACTTTTCTGCCCCCTTCCTTCCCTGCAATCCACCCATGCAAAGCCAGGCCAGTAAGGAACCGGAAGAGCTGCTAAGTCTGGCTAAGCTGCCTCCCACATGGTTGATTTTGATTCCTAGGCCTCACTGCCACCAAATCTAACTCCTGGGATAGACAACCTCTTCCTTCTCAAGCCCACTAGCTGGCCATGAGTGCTAATCTCAGTTTCCTTTGCGTGCACCAACGAGGCCCAGCGTTCTTCAGCTTGGCATTCAGGGTGCTGCTCGGTGTGCGGGGCAGGTGCGGAGGAGGTCGGGAGGTACTGCTTGTGGCTCAGCCTCCTGCTGTTCCCCCTGCCCTGTTTTCCTTCCAGATTGCTTATCCCTTAGCTGCGTGGATGAGCTGGTGGAAGGAGCTCTCTCAGGCTCTCCTGGCTTTGCTTTCATTCTTTTCCTTTATGTACTAGCAAGTGAGGACCCCAGATGGGGTCCTAGGAAGTAAAGAAAGATCAAGGAGGGCGTGCAGTAGTAGGGCTGGAGTGGCTTGGAGAATCAGGACTGTTGCTACCACTAACTGCGTGTTTTAGCTGATTTAGGCCCCTTTGTGCTAAGGGAGGGTGACCTAGCTGGAAATGGAAGATCGGCAGGTTAACTGGTGCTTTTATTTATTTATTTTTCCAGTGCTGGGAATTGAACAGGACCTTCTTGCTGAGCTACATCCCCAGCTCTTTTTATTTATTTATACTTATTTTCAGTGTCTCCTTAAGAATCTAAGTCACTTAGGCTGGGCTGGAACTTGCTATCTTCTGCTCTCTGCCTCTAGGAGTGCTGGGATTAGAGGCATGCGCGCGCCATCACACTTGGCCTACTTACTGATGCCTTTGGAAGTCCAGTCCTACCTGCCCTGCAGTGCCCCAGTCTCTGGAAGAAAACACTTCTTGTCCAAGCCCTGCCACCAGCTTGCTGGGTGACTTCAGGGCCCACCTCAGACTCAGTGTCCACACGTGTTCACAGAGACCACCACCCCAGCCGGGCCACAGCGGCTCACCTTCCGCTCTGCACTGCTGTTCTTCTTCGTCGCTTTAATGAAATCAGTTCTCCCCCTCAAGTGTTGATCATACTCCGCTAGGGTCATGTCCCCCTTCTCCATCAGGACATGTGGCAGGTGGGGCTCTGTGAGATGAGACCAACTTTTAGAACTTGTCTGGGGTGTGAGGGGGATGCGAGGAGCCTTGGTTTAGGGGCAAGATCTTCATGAGGGTGGACTCCTACTTAGAAAAGGGGAAAGGATTGCTCCCTTCCAGAAGTAGTATATGGCAGAGGAAGACTCCTTAGCCAGGAAAAACCTAGTGCCCATGACTGACTCTGTCCTATCTGAGCCTCAGTTTGCCAATGTGTTATTGGGGCCAGACCAAAGAACTCTTTAATCATTTCAGCTCCTGCCATTCTTTGAATTCTTGAGGAGACAGAGTTGCTCCTTGAAGGTCAGAGTTTCTGGGGTCTTGCTGAACTTAGAGTTTCAAAGACCTCTGTTCAGTAGAGCCAGGTGCAGAATGCTCCGTGGGGAGATGAGGCACTAGGTTTCTGAAGCTGGGGTCAGAGCAAGGGACAGGCAATTCAGGCAGCTGTAGCCAAGCTTCCCAGGTGGCAAGTGGTTAGTCCTTTTTCCTCTGCCACCCACCACCCTGACCCGTGCGTGCCCTGGCTGGGGCCTCCTTCCCATGGGGGAACCATACCGCTGGGGTGGATGAGGATCTCCACAGGCCGGTCGAAGGTGTGCTTGTTGGCCAAGGTGATGACGATGCTTTTGGCTGAGCGTGCAGAAGGGGCAGCGTCTGCGCGGATTTCGTGGGTGGGGCTCTCCACCCCTGAGTGACACAGAAAGTGGGCATGGGGTCTCAGGAGCCCTTGAGTGAGGGATAGCAAGACCCATGCCAGGGGTGATGGACATGCCAACCCTATCAGAGCCTCCTAGCATGGTGTGGCCAAGGCCTGGACTCCACAATGTCCTCATCTGCAAACCTTGGACTTAGACAGCTGGTATCTAATGGCTCTTCCTACCCTGATGGCAGGGTCTAGAAGGCTCAGAGGAGCTACTTCCTTTTAGGGTACACAAAGCTCCTAGCAAGTAACTCAGGAGACAGAGCTCAGTGCTCCATGGGTGGTTGCTTTTTGGTGGGTGCTCCATGAATGTGCCTTGCATGGCCATGAACACATGCTGGTGAGAAGCCACATCCTGGAGTCCTTTAAAGCCCAAAGGGAATTGGAGGAGAGAAGCATCAGTGTGAAGGTTCTCAGCCCTGGATTTGTCAGAATTGTCTGGTAAGCTTTAAAGCTAAGCCTAGCATAGCTTGGGGGTGGGGGGTGATGGTTGGCTGAGGTATGTTGGAAAGCTTCCGAGGTGAAATCAGGGAGGATATTGGTGGCTGTGGCCTCCTGGAGAGGAGGAGGAGCCACAATTCCCTGAGGGATATTTCCCCTTGTACTCTCAGGAGTGGAGCAGCCTTCCAAGCTGTCTCAGGGAGGGGCTCATCTTTGATGCTTGCTGGGGGAGCCAATGGGGGGCCCTACAGCTCTGTTGCTCCACTTGTCTTCTGTATGGGTCAGTGGGCTTTCTGCCCTTCTTTTCCCCCTTCTCCCTACAACTTAGAGTCAGAAGCCCTCTCCACTTTGGGACTCCCTCCCCATCCCCTCTCAATCTGGGCAGCTCTCTGTCACCTGCAAGCAGACATGGCCCATGGATCTCCAGCTGGAAGTTGAAGTCGTACTCCATGGGGTTGGTCACCTCGGGGTCCAGCAGGGTCGCCAGGCACAGCTTGTTCCAGGAGTCCAGGGCCTGGGTGCCATAGTAGGGCAAAGTGTCTTTGCTGGGAAGGTGCCATAGAGAAGAAAAGGAGTGAGTGGGCACAGAGGCAGGGCCCATGGGGGAGGGGGCAGGGGAGAGGGCTGTAAAATTTGGGCACCAGGGTTTCCCTTCCACCCCAGCCTTGTCCTCCCACTCAGCCTGAGCCCAAGAGGGCCAGCATGCCAGGAGAAGCCACGGCTACCTCCAAGGTGCAGCTCAAAAGGTCAGTTACAGGTGCCATGCTCCAGTGCATCTACTGTCATCCTTCTCCCCAGTGCCCCGGAAGGAAGGCTTGCCCAACCCCAGCTGGCATGGTGGTATTGAGCCTGGGTGGGCTGAAGTGGTAGGCATCCTTGCCTGGCCTGCCTGGTTCCATGGTGCAATGACTTCTTGAATCCCTCCCTTCCCTGTGACCTGGGAAGACACTGCTCTCCATAATAGCGTTCTCCTCCGTTCAAAGGGACCAACACTGGCAACAGGTGTGTGGGAATGCCCTCGCCTCTGGGCTTTCCCTCGGTCATGTTCTGTCTCTGTCCCTGCTCTGTTCCCCTCTTCTTCATAGCTACAGCCTCCCAGTCTTTGCTGTATGTCTTCAAGTGTGCACATATCCTGGTAAAACACATGGTGGTCTCTGGTGGTTGTGTTTTAAAAATTATTTATTTACTTATATATTTATTTGGTACAGGATCTTGCTAGGCAGCTTGGACTCATAATGATCTTGGCTCAGCCTCTCCAGCACTGGGATTACAGGTATATGCCACCATGCCTGGTTTTGGTAGCTGGCACAGTACACCTGGGATTCTGGGGCTGGCATGTCATGTGGTACCAGGGATTGTATCTGGGTTCTTGCATTTGCCAGGCAGACTCTTAGACCACTGAGCTATCTCCCCAGCCTGGTGGCTGTGTCTTAAGTGAACAAGAACATGCTATTATGACTCTTATTCATATATATATATATATATATATATATATATATCAGAGTCTACAGGGTTCAGGGTCTACAGGGTCTCACTACATAGATTGGATTTGTAGTGATTCACCTGTTTTCAGCCTCCCAAGCACTGGGATTACAGGCATGTGCCACCACACCCAGTCTCAGTCACCATATCAGTGTGCCCCGGGGCTGGGGCTGGCCAGGCACAAGGGGATTGAACCCAGGTCACTGTGCTCTGGCTAAGCAGGTGCGTTAGTCCACTGAGTTATTTGGCTGGCCCCTAAGCACTTATATTTTTTAACTCCATTTTTTTTTCTCGGTGTTAAATTCCAGAGCCTTTGTACTGACCTATGTCCCATCCCTTCTTATCTTGTAGCTTCAGACAGTGTCTCATTAAGTTTCTAAGTTGCCCAGGCTGAGCTTGAACAAGTGCTCCTCCTACCCAGCTTTCTAGAATGCTGGGTCAAGCCCATGCTCGAATCACTATGTTTCTAAGCTGTGTCCAGGTGACCACAAACCAAAGTTCTTGCTAACATGGTGGCACCTGGGATGTCATTAGCTTGTTCCCATTTGATCTTGCCTCTACCTCCCTGTACCCACAATAACACCACCACAGATATGCTTGCCCATGTTGCCTTTGGCTCTGTGAAGAATTTCTCTGGTGTGCCTGGGTCAAGGGCAGGGGCCGAGCAAGACCAGATTGTTTTCTGGGTCCAACTTCCACAGGCAGGGAGGTAGTATCCCTCTCTCCACGGCCTCTGAACACTCAGTATCCTATGGCTTTCTTATTTTCTTTCTGGTGTCACTCTTCACTGAGAGTCTGCTGGAATGGGTGGGAAGCAGTTTAACAGGGCAGCCCCGGGCCACCAGGGCCTCCTGAGCCTCTTGTTTCCTGGTCCGTCCAGGCCCCGCCTTGCAAATGCACCAGGCTTGCAGGTAATGGCAATGGAAGCACTTGTGAGGGTGACACATGGCTCGTCTGAGGCCGTCTTGTGCCACTACCAGCTTCTCTGTGCCCTGCCACAGCCTTTTTCCTTTCCCTTCCTACTCCTCCAGGAAAATACAGAGGAACTCTCCTGCTATTGGGCTTTTCATTTCTGCCTCCTGCCCTGTGGGAAACCCTGTACATGGCTCCTTGTTGCTTTGGGGAGAAACACAAAGTCTTGGTAGGGTCAAGGATGACCCAGGCCTTGGAGCCTCGTTGGATGCCACCCAAGGATCAGCCCCACCTGGATCCCTGTCCTTGCTCCCGCAGGGCCTTTGTCCCTGTTGCTGTTTGTGTGCCAGGATGCACTCCCTGTGCCTTCTTCCTCCTTAGGGGTCAGCCAAGCCTGGCCTGGTCACTAGATCCCGGGCTAGGTCCTTCTTTTACGGCTTCAGCCCAAGGAACTTTTTCCTCAGTACACTTTTTCCATAATTATTTATATATTCATGTATATAACAATTAGTTCTACACTTAAATGCAAAACAGACAATGATTCCTTGGCCCAGGTAACTAGCTAGCAGGGACCATATTGGTTTCTTGCCCTCTCTTAAACACATAGCCCAGTGTCCAGCACACAGTAGGTGCTCAGAAAATACCTCTTATGTGAATTGAAAAAGAAACTCTGGGAATTCTGATCTTCAGTGGTCCAAACCCTAGTATTTCTGCTAGCACTGATATAGGGGCATTTCTGGGGCATTTTACAGAGAAGAAGGACAGGTTACTCTGAAGGAGGCAACTCTCAGGCAGAGACCCACCTTCTACTCACTGTCCCCCCACCCACACCTGCTCCCTTGGCCTGGTGGACTCCGCTGCCCCAGCTGTGACCAGACCTTGGAAAGCCTCCTTACCCCTGGGCCTGTGGGTTGGAAAGGCCACTGCTCTTGGTGCAGAACTGAGGCACCGTCGGGGCACAGATGGCAGGCAGGAGGACCCTCACGGCCCCGCTGGGCAGCGTTGGGAGCTCCGATGAGGTGCTGATGAAGACGGTGACATTCTCCATGGGAGTGATGGTCCCCAGGTTGACCACAAACAGGACCCGCTCCAAGTCCTCATCCAAGGCCACCTTTCCCGGTGTGCAGGAATGAGGGGCGATGGAAACCCCCTCTTGCCGAATGTCCCCTAAGTGCCAGGCTGGCGTCAGGGGCAGTGCACAGCATCTCCGAGTCCCTCCAAGTTTGCTGTGGGGGCTGTTTGCACACCCCCATTGTGCTGATGGGAAAACAGGCCTGGTGTGGAGGTGTGACTTGCCTAAGTCAATTGAAAACTGACACATTAAGGAGGGTCTGCATTCACATGGATTTGACTCCAGGCCTGTGTATCTTCCACTGTACTTAGCTGGGAAGGGGAGACTTAGACCCACACCCCCACAAATGGTCACAGCTCCTTCCCACAATTCCTACCCCCACCCCATACCCAGCAGGGATCCATGCTTTTGCTCACGTTCTTTCCTCCCATCTGAAGGACTCATTCCTTTATCTCTACTGAGCCACTCTGATCTGGCATTCAACTTCTCCAGGAAAGCTTCCCTGGTCCCCAGTCTGTCCCTCTCTTTCCCGCTCTGATGTTATGGAGACCTTTCTCTTCAACCTCGAGTCTTGGCCACTCCTAAGCGTGTCCTACCCATCTCATGAGAAATCACACCTTGAGGAGAACTTTGCACCTGACACACAGTGAGTGTTCATTGGAAGATTCTTGAATCTCTCTGTTTTTTTTTTTTTTTTTTTTTTTTTTTTTGCGGAACCAGGGATTGAACTGAGGCCCTTGCGCTTGCCAGGGAAGTGCTTATTCTACTGAGCCATCTTCCTGGCCCTGATTCTTTTTTTTTTTTTTTTTTTGCGGAACTGAGGATTGAACTCAGCCCCTTGCACTTGCCAGGGAAGCGCTTATTCCACTGAGCCATCTCCCCGGCCCTGATTCTTGAATATCTTAAAGATCAGGCAAACAAACTTCACTATGGTCCTAGAGCCCATGGTCAAATTATCTTACACCATGCTGTGCTTGGTCTGGGTCCAAGCCCTATCTTGGCCACCAGCATGCTGTGTGACCTTGAGACAGTCATTGTTTCTCTCTGAGCTTCAGTTTCCTCCATAGCAGGACTCATAGTCATGCTTTAGGTATGTACTGTGCTGTGAGTGCTCTACACGGACTGTCTTGGTTGAGCACTTGAGGTATAATTATTCCCTTTATAGGTTAGGCTAATTTCTTATCCAAACTCATATCGCTCATAAGCAACAAGCTAGGGAGTCAGATCCTGGGTGACTCATTCCACAGCCTCTGAGTTTGAAGGACTTGAGATTCTGATCTCTAGAGATACCTTAAAAACCCTTTTATTGCCTGCCCTCCTTCAACCTTCACCACATTTTAGAGGCAAAAACAGGACATTGCTTTTTTTTTTTTTTTTTAATGTATCTGGTACAGGGTCTCACTTGTAGTGATTCTCCTGTTTCAGCCTCCCCAGCACTGGGATTATAGGTGTGCATATCATGCCTAGTTTCAGTGGCCAGGTTGGCATGCCCAGCGTGGGGCCTGCACCACATGTGTTTGCTTGGGATTGAATCCAAGTCTTTGCACTTGCCAGGTGGGTGCTTAGACCACTGAGCTCTCTCCCTGGCCCCATTGTTCTGCTTTATAGGTACAAAAGCACAGGTTCAGAGAAATTAATGATTGGCCCAGGGTCACCCAGGATCCCATCTCAAGCTTCCTGGCTCTGATTCAGTGCTGTCTCTAGCTCATCCTGTTGCTGTACTAGCCATCTGCCCAAGGAACCAGCCCAGGCAGCCTCCAGCGCAGCCCCTGCTGTGACCCTTTGGGTCTCCTTACCTGTGACAGTCGGGGATCGGGCACAGGAGGCATCCAAGTGGCTGCTCTCCAGCTTCGCTTTGTCCTTGATCTGTACCTTCACGATGCGGTCGGCAATGACTGCCTCAAAGCCGATCACCGTGGTGAACTCATCCAGCACATACACGAAGAGGCCTGCGGGAGGGGGTCCGGCATTGCGGGGTGCCCAGCTGCGCCCTGCACGCACTCCCTGCTCAGGGCAAAGAACCTGATCCCTTGATCTGTATGATGGACAGGACACGGGGTAACCCTTGGAGGAAACAAATTGTCCAAATCCAGGCTCTGTCCGGTCTCCCAGTCAGGCAACCTGGATAAAGACTATAGCTTCTCTAAACCTCATAGCCACATCTATAAGATGGGCTGTTGTGAGACTCAAAACAACAACAGCAACAGCAGCATCAGCAGCAACAACAACAAGAAAATAGCTACACGTATTAAGCCAGGGTCCCTATACTGCATCTGTCTCAGGGCTTCCCAAACTGTAAGAGCTCACGGATCACCTGGGGGTCTTACTAAACAGCCAAACCAGATTTTGCTGGTCTTGGCAAGCCCACCACAGACCCTGACTTCTAGTCCTCCCGAATCTCAGTTTCCTCATCTATAGATTGGGAGTGAGCGAGCCCTTCTTTCTCCTGTGTTGGAAGACAGCTGCCTCAGAGTTGTTCGGCTGGGTCGCTTTATAGGTCTCTTTCTTTAGATTCCCTCCCATGAAGGAGTGGGGCCATTTGCTCTACCAAGATCTCTGAGGGGGCGAAAGGCTCCTGGCAGATTCCCCTCAGTCAGGGTCAGTCCTCAGGGCAGCCCTGCAATGGGGTGGGGAGGTTGTCTTCGTGGTGAGGAGATCCCATCCCTGTAAAGGAGAAGGGCATCTTGGCCACAGTTAGCCTCCTGGCAGGTCACCTTCTGTCCTTATGCTGACTGCTTCACACTGATGATTTATAGTCACAGCCTGTCATTCTGTCTCCCCTGCCCTTTCTCCTGTATTTCCTCTTCCTCTGCTCCTGGTACCGTTAGCATCTGGATAGGTAGAGAGGAGCATCCTGACTTCATGGCGGACCAGGGCTTCCCCAAGGAGCCAGAGCTTGTGGCTGGGTCTGCTGGCTCTGGCTGAGTCCTGACTTCTGACCATTTGACTGGGGAATACACCTGAGTTCCAAGTGCTGGGACACCTGGCTGGGGCTCAAATTCTGACCCTCCTGCTACTGGCTTTGAGGTCTGAGGGGCAGACATGGAATTCCTATCTTATACATAAGGAAACTGTGACTCTGGGGTCACTGCACCTGCCAAATGTCAACCATCTAGTAGATGTCAGAATGGGCACTCAGCATGCAGGAGTGAGGCCTGGGGAAGCCCCAACAGGGGTTCTTACCCTGGAAAGGCTGAGCCTCCAGATTGCCATAAGTAAGGGAGGCTGTCAGGCCGAGGGCGTAACCACTGACAAAGGAGGTGACATCAGATGCGGTGAGGGGCAGCGCTGCCCCAGTGACGCGGTTCAGCAGGCCAGGCATCCTGCCGGCTAGTCAGCCTTCAGGGCCTGCAGGAGACAAGGCAGGAAGGACATGGGGAGAGGTTCTCAGTTCCCCTCAGGAGCACATTTTCCACCCTGCCCCACCCTTGACAGTCAATTTCAGCCTCTTCATTTTCCTCAAGTACTTGCCAGTTAGCAAGCCCATCATCACTTCCAATGTTTGCCTAGAGAAGTCTTTCTTTCCATTTCTCAGAGACTGCTGAGATTCACTCCCAGCCTTGGATAGAGCCGAACAGCTTCCCGTTCCACCAGGAGATCCTCCTGCAGTCTGTGCTAGGTTGGGTTCCCACCTTGTCCCTTTTGCGAGCCCAATGATATCCCACCCTCAGATTTTGCCCCACAAACTGAGGCCCCTTGCATGGCTGATGCAGGCAGCCCCCCTTCTCTAGATACTGCAGATTCACCAGCATGAGGGCAGCCATCATCATTCCTCCAGGAGCATCCTTCCTGCCACCTCTTAGCCCTCCACATACCCAGCCCATCACCAGGGCTTGGGACCTCTCTCTGAAGAAGCTCCTGCATCACTCACATTTGTACTTCTGTCCCTAGCACCCTGGTCCCACTGTCTCCACCTGGACCTCAGCTCCTTTGGATTTCTTGAATCTACTTTTCCCGGCTCAAGTTATTTTCCACCCAGTGCCAAGAAGAAGGGATATTCCAACAGAGAGTGGACACAGCTGTGCCGCACCCTTTCATCCCTAGTGGCTTCCCATTGCTCTTCGAATATTGACCAAGGCCCTCCAGGTGGCCTTTTGCGCTCATCCTTAGTCATCATCACTTCTGTCGCTCTTGGAAGCTTCCATTCCTCAAGTGTGTCCTGCTCTCTTCATGCCTGCACTTTGGACTCTACCTAGACGGCTCACCCCACATGTGCTTTATAGTTAGAATCTTCTCCTCATCCTTCAGTGTCCATCTGAGCTCCCTCTGGACACAAGGCTACTTGTCCCCAGCATCCTCAGGCACCCTGCTTCTAGAGCTGGGGTTCTGTCCTAAAACTGCCTTCCTTTGAGAGGTGGGAGGACACAAAGTCATGCAAAGGGCACAGAACACAAATTCAATGTCAGCTCCTCCCCAGGTTTTCTTCTGTGATATAGGAGCCAGGTCAAGCCTCCAAGGGTGGGTAGCTGGCAGCCATTTGGACAGCTGTCCAGTGTGTGTCAGCTACTCTGCCCTTTCTCAATGAAGGGAACTCCTTGCCTCTAGGTCTTCTTCAGCTCCCAGCTTAGAGCCTCACATGTTCTCCTGCCTCCCACCAGACCAGCGGCATCTTTTTAATTATGTTCTCCTTTGTGCCTGGGGCCCAGACGGCTCTCAGCCTGGCTTATCTCCTCCAAGGCTGACTGATAACTGGAAGCAGACAGAGAACCAGGAGGGAGCCGCTGGATCCTCAGCATCTTCTCTCAGGAATGCTTTGTCCCGGTGGCCAAAGCAGAGCCTGAATCCTCCGTGGGGGCAGAACAAGAGGGCAGAATCATTTCCTGAGCGCACCACATCTCCCGCTACCCACCCTCCCTCTCTCCTCTTTCTCACCCTGGCTCGGCCCTATCTAGAATGCCAGTTGGGAAATGTAGCTCTAGGGAGCCAGCATCTCAGGATGCAGTGAACTTAGATTTCAACTTCAGCCCACGGGCTGGAATCTTGCCAAGGGCATCTTGTCTAACCCGTTCCTCCCACAGTGTCCTTCACCCGAGAGTGAGGCTTGGATGAGCAAAGCTGATAAAAAAGCACCAGACTCTGTGGAGAGCTGCAAAGGACCGCGCCTACAGGATGGCGCTGGTTTCCACCTTCCACCCCCCGTGGGTGAGCGCTCTCTGTGCACAACAACTCCTCATATGGCCAGGGCTGCAGTCATGATTCGCTTCCGCATATGCTGGACCCATGGGCGATCCCCACGTGGCGCACTGGGATTGGGCTCGGGAGTATATATTAGCCAAGGGCTGGGGGATTGGGGAAGAAGCTTGCAGTAAGGGGCCTGAATAAACTGCTGAAGGAAGAGCTGTGTGTTGCGTCTTCCTTGCTGACGAAGTCGTGCGCGACAAGTGGTGGCCCGTACGGGGATCGAACCTGCGACCTTGGCGTTATCAGCACCAAGCTCTTCCTTCAGCGGTTTATTCAGGCCCCTTACAGCAAGCTTCTTCCCCAATCCCCCAGCCCTTGGCTAATATATACTCCCGAGCCCAAGCCCAGTGCGCCACGTGGGGATCACCCATGGGTCCAGCATATGCGGAAGCGAATCATGACTGCAGCCCTGGCCATATAAGGAGTTGGTGCGCACAGAGAGCGCTCACCCACGGGGGGTGGAAGGCGGAAACCAGCGCCATCCTGTAGGCGCGGTCCTTCGCAGCTCTCCACAGGCTCACTCTTCCCTGACCTTTAAGGACGCTAGAGCTTCTTCGAAAGAGTAAACTGGAAGTCCTGTGGGCCAAATTCCTGCACTTTTCCTCAGCTCACTCGATCAGGATAGGTACCTGCTGTATTTCAGGCCCTTAATTAATTAATTAATTAATTAGCTCCTGGGTATAACAAGATCAAACACAGCCCATCCTCTAGAAATCTGTTATCTTGCAACAGAGGAAATTTGGGAGTGGGAAAGAGAGAGTCAGGTCAATTTATGGGATTTAGGAAGCAAGGAAAACATGCCAGGCACATGTATTGTCACAGCGTCTGGCCTCCTCCTTACACGGTGCTCTGCAGAGGGAGACTTCAAAGCTTTGAAGGCTGTGTCTGGCTCTGGGGGATGCACAGGTTTAGCTGGGGCTTCCATAGGGCCTTCTTCAGGAGAAGACCAAGGTCATCCTTGTGGGAGATGGAGAGCAGGTATGCTGGTGGCTGACCCCTACCCCGCTCCCAGGTTCCTCGCAACCTGGGTTTCGAGGGGGCTTCAGGCCATAGGAAACACCCAGGTGTAGGGATCAAGCCACCAATGCCTCTCTGGGTCAGTGAGAGGCTGTGGCCTCGCCCTTGGGATGGCGTCTGGTGTGAGCGGGTGATTTCGTGTGTCAGGCGCATCCTCTGGGTATCTGTTTTCCCTACTTCCTTCCCGGCCTTCCCCACAACCTGTCTGCCCAATTCCTTGCTTTTTAGGATGCTGACTCTGGAAAGTGGCCAGAGAGGTCAGAGGAAACACGAAAGGCCTTAAATGAAACTGGGGGTGGGGCGGGGGATGGGAGGAGAGGGAGGGGCTTATGGACTGGGGAGGGATGCAAGGGGGTGTCCACCATGGAAATCGGCATGGAGAGTCAGCAAGAAAACTGAATTAAGAAATTCCATTTGACCTAGGTGTAGCTCCTCTGGGTATCTTCCTAAAAGGCTTAAAGTCATCATATTACAGGGATAGATGCAGACCCGTGTTTCTAGCAGCATAAGTCATGGCCGATACATTTTGGAAGGATCTATATGCCCATCAGAGTATGAGCAGATGAAGAAAATGTGGCACGTGTACACAGTGGAGCTAGTCATCTGTAAGAGCAACGGTGGATCTTGAGGCCATGAAGCTAAATCTCGATGAGTCAGGCACAGAAGGTTAAATATCACACAATTTCTCTAATATGAGAAATGCAAAATGTAGATAATGTAAAGAGCAGAGAGAGAGAGAGAGAGAGAGAGAGAGAGAGAGAGAGAGAGAGAGAGAGAGAGATGGTGGCAAAGAGGAAGACAGACTCTGCAGAGATGGGAAGGGGGCCTAGGGAAGGAGGGAGGAGGGGGACAGTTGCTCAAGATGCACTATGTACCAATTCCTCAAGATGAAGGGAAGTATTATGTATCACAGACATCCGTAACATTTGAAAAAGAAGTAGGTATCCTGAGATGCAAACTGGGTTGCATTTCATCTCCAATAGGCTCATAGAAAGCTCCACATGACTTGGGCAATGGATGTGTTTCTTTGGTGAACCACTGGGCTGAATCTGAACACTGGAATTCTTCCTGCATGGCCCTGAGGAGGTTCCCGGCATGTGTGTGACAGTGCCAGCCCTGTCTCCTGATGGCCTAGAAATTACGATTCCCAGAGGATTGCTGCCTCTCTGGCCAGAGCACTGTTTATATTTATGCCTGACTTGGTAAATATTTATTAAGTGAATGAATGATGCCAGTCACTCTCAAGGACACCGAAGGACACTTGCTGCTGGGGATGCAGAGGGAGTAAGGCAGGGGTGATCAGAGAAACTGGCAGAAGAGACAGTAAAGACAACCACAGGCTCAGGATCAGACCCCTTCCTGTCACCTCCACAGTTGCCACCCCCTTGTCTCCCTCCATGTATCAATGGAGCAGCCAGAGCAGTTCTTCTACAAGGATCCGGTGACTCTGTGGCTCAAGTCCCCTAAATCTCCCACGTCCCTTGAGCACCAGAAGGAGGAGAGGCTGGCAGAGCACCTGGTTTCTTTCTGAACTTTCCTTGATGTCTTTGCTTTAGAGCTTTGCCTTGGGTATCTTGCATTGGCTCTTCCTACTCCAAGAGATGCTGTTGTCTAGATATCCGAGTGCGGTGGTCCCTTAGCCCTTCACATTTTTGTCCAAATGGCACCTGATCGTAGAGACCACCTCTATTACCTTATTTAACCCTGCAGTCTCTTTTCTACCTTCTCCTCTAATTCCTTGACTTGGTGTTTTCATTATTTCCATAACGTATATTACCACCAGCACATTATATTTAAAGGATGTATTATGTCCATCACTTATCATCTGCTTTCTCACCACAAGGGCAAGGATTGGGGCCTGATTTTCTCAAATCTCTTAGGGTCTTGAATTGTGCCTGCACTGGTAGTGGTGAATAAATACTTATTGAAAGAGTGAGTCAGACCTCCGAGGGATTCCTCATCCCACTGTTTGTCAGCCAGGGCTGTACACCTCCCTGTCCCAATCGTGCAGGGCCACACCCTTCTGTAACAGACTATAGGGTAACTTTATTATTCTGCCTCCTTATGCCAGCTCTTAGCCATCAGCAGTTCTCCCACTGTGGCCACTGCCACCAAGCACTCTGTCTGCAGCCTGCGAGTTCCCCACACTC